ATGAAAGATGAATATGTGTATCATTATTGACTGTATATTTGACTCCAGTTCGATCGTTTGTGATTGCTATTGAAATATATATATCGTCAATCCTTGTATGTAATTATCGACTTTGATCACGTTAGTGTATAACGGAATTAATGTGTCAAATACGAGAATAAATGTTTGAATCCGTATATTTTGTACAATCGTTGATCGGATCAGATAATCAGAGAATCGCATCGAATGAAGCGAACAAGAGAGAGCGAAGTGAAACAATACGTTGTGGAGAAGACGGGTTAGCCAACTTGATTTAACCAAGAGTTAATCAATATTTATAGTGACACACAAATAAGTTACAGACATGTGAAGAATAGGATAAGAAGTGTACACACATATATGCTCATACAAGAACAGTCAAGGTTGATAAGTGGATAATTACGAAAGTAAAAAACCTGACTCAAGAAGAATAGATAAATTGACCTGTCTGAAAGCTAGAATAAGTTATATAGGCTTGACATAGTAATTGACACTATATCATGATTTAGCGAAGGTTTCAACAGAGTTCAATAAGGTCATAAAAATTGTTTGTTTCAGATAAACATGACTGTTCCTAAAGATAAAATAATAATTTTCCTTGAAAAAGCTTGGACCAGATTGCCAGGCAAAACGTTGGATTTACTTAAAATTCATTCGCTGAGATTTTACAAATACATTTTTTCTCTTTAATGTCTCACATTAACTCGGCGCCCAAATATTGTGAAACTATTCGTTCAAAATGACTGTTCCTGTTGCAAACATCAATCGATTGTCTGTCCATTCATGAGTTCATGAGTTTCCGTACAAATTCCATTGTGTTTCCGCTCTTCCTTTCTTAATCTTCATTCATCTTCTGCTGTCAGACATTAAGTTTAAAACACGCGTCATATACTACTTATGTCTACATAAGTAGCACACACCACACTATCACTTCGGAAGTGTATATTTGACTTTATTAATATAAATCGATTCATAATAACAAAATTTTACATTGTGTAAATGATGTAGGTAATTCTTTTACTTTATGAAACCTAGTTTCATTAAAATGATAACCGAATTGCTACGTATTTTATTAACTTTTACATTCAACAGCCTATTATTGGTAAATAAGTCACACAAAAAAAAAATAATTTTAATTGTTGAGATCATGGATCAATTGAGCCTGGACCACCATGGAAAACCTGGAAATACGAGACGACCATTTCGTCCTATTGTAAGATATCTCGTCAGTGTGCATCCGCCATCCCGCCTTGAGACATTCGTAAACATGACCTACCGATCTCGCGGGCGGACGCCTAACCTCTAAATCACTGAGCTGGAATCTAACAATGTTAATGTTTAACTTCAACTAATACACGAAATTGAGCCACATATTCACCATTGTCTTCAGTGAATTACTATCTCACAACAGACCCGGTTGAAGTACACTAGTCACTGATTCTCATTAGAACTTGAGAAAATATATTTTAAACCATTCACTAATGAGCATATGTTGTTTAGTATTAGAAGGGGTTTTTGTGGATATTATGATAGTTTTAACAGTTGAGATCATGAGTCAATTGAAGCTAAACCACGGCGGAAAGCCTGAAAGCACTGTATTGCCGTTTTGTCCAAATGATTGATTATGAACGTAGAAAGATTTTGAAAGGTAGTGTATTTTTTCGAAAAACAGTTAATTATTTAAAATATGAAACTCTAAACTGATTTATCCCTATTCTCAAGAGACAGATTAGAATCAGATATTTAATGATGTTTAGATACATAAGTTATAAAGTCGTATGAATTTTGGTGGAGTTCTGGTCTCTGAGCTAAGCGGTTTGTTCGTGGAGATTTCATCATGCTTTTGAATGACGTCATCTGTACAAACTTTGAGTAAAAGTAGACTTCTAGTTGATGTCGTCTGAAACCTGTCCAATAAAATGAATAAAGTTATGTTTATATGAATGGCCGTTTCGTCCTAGTATGAGACTCCTCAGCAGTGCGCAACCACTCTTTCTTTAATAATCATCATGTACTTACTAGTGACTGAATTCAAGAGGAATTTCCTGGAGTTCTAGTGAGAAGCCGTCAGCAGTGGAGTTCAACCAGGTCTGTTGTGAGATATCAGCTCATTGAAGACAATGGTGTTACGGTGGCGTAATCTAGATTAGACAAGTTACCCTCAGCACCAAAAGTGGGTAAACAGATCAAGGACGTAACACTTAGACAGTGAGCTGTTTATTTGTTTATCATAACTAAACGTTATTAAAAATTGATCTAAAATGAACTTAAATTATTCAGTGATATTGATTATCTTTACAAGGAATAATCTACAAGATTCCTTTTCGATGGAAATCATTAATTTGTCGAAAATTATATTCATCAGATAAATTTCTTTCGATAGAATGGTAGTTGATTGTAGTCAACAGAAAACCTTGAACCTAGGTTTTTTGCTAATTGGCACTCGTCAGCAAGGTGTAGTTGTAATCTTACGTGAACTGATGTTCCCTGACTGATTCGACTTGTAATGAGAAGGACCTGACATATATAACATGGATCATTACCCAGTGATCAATCAATTATAAATATATCTCAATCCTACAGAAGGTCAGTAGTGGTTTGGATAGCTCAATGGTAACGTCTCTGACTGTGAAGCTGAATGACATGGAATCAGTTACCTCAAGATTGCAGGTAAACCTTGCTTATCAGTGTCAAGTAGTACGAAACACGAATTCATAGTTTCTTGTTGAATACTTCTAAACACCATTTTATCACAACATAATGCATACAGTGTTGAGTCACCTAGACTGGCGGCCACATTGCAGCTTGGTCGATAGTTATCGGCCTGAACCAAGAAGGACCTGACATACATAACCTTGATCACCATCCAGTGATCAATCAATTGAAAAAATGTTTCATTAGCGATATGAACTTCATATATGAACCTAATAGGTTGATGAATTCGAATTTTTTTAATGTTTCAAATTGTATGGTTTGTTATGTAGTTTTACTTTACTGAATAACTTTTGTATTGTTATTTATTCTATCAATAGTGCATTGATGATCATACATTAATAAAAGAATTTATTTTGAATGGTTAACACTTTTTGAGAAAGATTCATTTTATTGATATGATAAAGCTACCTCCTACTATATTCAACCCACTTCCTTTAGCTTAGCTTGAGATAAGCAATCACCAATTCTAGAAGGTTATAAAGTGGCGTTTTCAGAAGAACTACCGATTAAGAAACCTATAGTATTCATATCTTCTTAAATGATAAACACACTAATATCTACTCTATGAACTTTGAATCCCTGTTAATCGTTATTTAACTAGAATATCAAATAAGAACCATTTCAATGGAACATAATGAATTAACATTATTCTCATATGATGATTTGTATATTGTATACAATCTTTAATAGAGAAAAAGTGAAAATTACCAATGAAATGTTACATACTATTTTCTATAAAATTAATAAAATTATTGATTAACTAATTAAAATACTCAGTGATAATTTGTATGACTTAGCAACAAAACAAAAATGTGTCAAACAGATTAATTGAGATGTTATAAATAACTTTCATAATCAAAAAAAAAAAAAAGGAATTCCATTTGTCAGAATGGATTGATCAATCTGAGTCCTACAGGAGGTCGGTCACTGCCCGGATAGCTTAATGATAACATCTCTGATTGTGAAGCTGGGTGATATAGGATCAAATCCGTCAGGGAGTATCAGTTCCCTCAAGATTACAGGTACACTTTGCTGATGAGTGCCAAGTAGCATGAAACCTGGGTCCAGGGTTTCCTGTCGACTACCTTAAATCACCATCGAATTCCATTTGTAAATCATTAAAAAATAATTATTATGATGAGGTAATATTTTGTTGCAGGATTTATTTATACAAGACAATAATAATTCTCAACAGGAAACTAACTGATCATTTAATGAATTTTTATAACAAAGCAAACAAAACTGTGATAGTTAATTCCAGTTGAAAATGAAAAAGAAACATAATGTAATAAGTGTCTGTTAGCCTTGAGTTTGACTTTACCAATAGCTTGAATGTGGTAACCTGTTATTGATATCGGGAAAGGGGTTATGGAGATTATTGAGTTTTTCATTGAGATCATGAACCGATTGATATTAGATAACTGTTAGAAACCTGAAAACATTGGATGGCCGTTTCGTCATATGATGGGACTCCTCAACAGTGTGCAAGTTCAATCGTAGATCCAAGGCTTTCAGTCTCGCGCTCGAACACTCAACTTACTAAACCACTGAGTCGGCATGTTATGATGTTACTGTCGAACATCAACCAATTCACGAAATCGTGTGACCATCTTTCATTTTACTAAAATAAATATCTATCTCTACCTAATATGGATTAGCTTCACTGATTACAGTTTCTCACTGGATCTCCAAGAATTCCTTCATATCATTAGTCATCCAGTAATCACATGATAATTATCAGTATGAGATTGTAAAGAGTATTAACTTTTTTTGATTGATATCATTGTTAGTTAAATACATAAATCTAATAAAATGTAAGTCAATGTTTTTTTTTTTTAATAATTCTCAATAGGCATAATCATTATAAGTATGTATGTGTTTAGTTACAGACATATATATGTATATATATATCTGATTGACGCATCATGAATGAATTACCTATATGCATATTAACTGTCTATTGTGTAGGCTAAATAGGATCAATTTTGTTGTTTGTTTTTTTGTTGTTTTTTTTCTTTCATATTTTTTCTTTTTGTTCTTCTTTCTGATTCAACATAATTGTTTCCTTCATTTTTTTTGTGTGTTTTTTTTGTTTGTTGATTTATTGAATTGACAACAATATATATATATCCATGAATAGAAACTAAAATCATTCGAATGTGCATAAAAATGTAATACACACTTTCATAGATTACTATATTAATGAATTATAATATATGAAATGAATCAGATTATTTCATTATTGGTTATTTGTTTTTTTTTGTGTTTTTTTTTTTGGTTGACTGTACAACATAAATTGGTTAGCAACAAGAATTATTTCATTATCGAACATCAAAAAAAAAAAGAATTTTTTTCTTCTTCTTTTTACTTAATTATTAAACAGATAAGAAAAAAGAAAACATGGATAAACTATCATTTACACCGGAATTATGGACAAAAATATTTATTGTAGTGAATAGTTTATTTGTGGTAAGTAGATTATTATTATTTTGTTTTTCTTTCTTTTTTCTTTCTTTTCTTTTTTATTCTTTTTTATTCTTTTTTATTCTTCTTTTTATTTTTATTTTTTATCATTTTAGATATTTAGTTTTATTATGTTTGCACTAGGTATTAGTGCATTAGATACATTACTTAAATATGGTACAATATTACAATTAGCACCACCAGCAATATATGGAACTGTTATATTTACTGGATTACTTGGTATAATAGCTTCAGCTGTTGGATTTTTTGGTTTATGGAAAAAAATGAAAATTATTGCACTTGTGGTAAATATATATATACATATATATATATGTATTATGTAATAATCTTTCATTAATATTTAGCATATGATTGGTTTAGGTATTGCAACATTAATTAATATATGTATTGCTATTGCAGCAGCTGCAACTCAAGATAAAGTTAGTTTATAAATACAATGATATTCTAAAAGATTATAATATTTAGTATACATCAGATGCTCAACAATCATTGCTCAGTTCTATTTCAAATTATAATCGAAGTCAATATTCATCGGAATTCGATAAGTTACATACTACTGTAGGTGATAGTTGAATAAATTATTATTATTATATATATATATGTATTTTTCTTCCTATAAATGATTGTTCTATTATAGTTCTATTGTTGTGGAGCTAGTTCATACAAAGATTTTAAACAATATAATATGAAGATACCACCATCATGTAGAGTTGGTGAATTGACCTACGCAACAGTAAGTAACTAAATATATATATCAGTTATGTTGCATACTTTTATGTTCCAAGACATATATATATACTATGATGGTTCCATAGATTTATCAACCTTTTATCATTATCTGTTTACAATTCTTTTGATTGTGGTACGAAGTACATAACTTGAGTTATTGTTAACTTTCAACCTCATTTACAAAAATCTGTATCAGTATCAATCATCAATAAATTAAAGGTTAAATCTTATTACATAAAGTATTAATTAGTCATATGTTGAGATGGTGGAGAAGATTTGTAGCTCAGGTGGATGATTTTAATAAAGTTTTGTTCTCTGAGCTGGATGGTTTGGTCGTGGAGACTTCTATCTAAAGTTCGTGCTGATGATGTCGTTCAGAAGAACGATGAAAGTACCAGGATCAAACCATCCAGCTCAGAGAACAAAACTCCATCAAAATTAGTCATATGTTAAATATCAGATAGAATACTGAGTTATAAAGTTATTTCTACGTAGATATTAGTTTAATTTGGTATTTTGTTTTAGAGTCATAGTCAATTAAGCCTAGTTTTTGCTTAGTTTAAATTATAGGATTCTCTAGCGAATGGATTAGTTTTTCAAGACAGTGATCTCAATTTTCTTTTATTATCTCATTCTAAACAATTAATATCTACTTTATTGTTTGTCATAATACTTATTATTAGAAGGGATTTTTTGATGAATACAGTAATTTCAATGATTGAGATCATGAGTTAATTAAAGCTAGAAAACCATGAAAAACCAGGAAGTATTAAACGGCCATTTTGTCCAATGCGTATCCACGATCTCGCCTCGCGAGATTCGAACCGAGGACCTATCGATCTCGCGCGAGTAAGCTTAACTACCAAACCATTGAGCTGGGATATAATGGTGTTCATGTCTAACTTCAACTAATCCATGAAATTAAGTGACACATTCACCATTGTCTTTAGTTAGTTACTATCTCACAATAGACCCGGTTGAAATGCACTGGTTACTACTTCTCACTAGAACTCGAAGAAATTTCTGTTGAAGCCATTCACAAGTGAGCATATGTTGATTAGTATAAGAAGGGGTTTTTGTGCACATAATATTATTATTAGTTGTAGCTCTGATGGATTACTTTGACGGAATTTGTGCTGATGACGTTGAGAAGTTCAGTTCAGAGAATGAAATTCCATCAAAAAAATATATTTACATACTGACTGAATTCGACTGATACTAGTATTCAATGTGAATATAAGTGTTAACCGAATTAAACGTTTATCTCTAGTTGTCTAAATTAGATTAAAATATACTTAATAGTTTACTGTCTATTTTATGTAGATATGTATGTATTATTAGTGGGTTTATTCAATATTATAATTTTGGTACAATATAGAATTCTCAACACAAAGTATTTCCACAAGTTTTGTTTTCTTATTTCTTGATTGTTTCATGCGATAAATATTGAGTGGTTGTCAATTAGATGTTAGTAGTCCAGTTATTCGACATCTGAATAATGTACATTCTTTACGATGTAGATCACCAGTAACCATGATATCTTTGATTAGGATCTTTTGTAAGTTGTACAGCGTGATGTAATAAACGTCTCACAAACTCATCTGAATAGGTTATGAGACTAATAGGCATAATGATATATTAAAATAAACATGCAAAAATCGAACTTGTTGAAACCACTATTGAAAACCTGCAAGCACTTTATGACTGTTTCGTCCTATTGTGAGACTCCTCAGCAATGGACACCCACGATCCTGCTCACGGGATTTGAACCCGGGACCTTCGGACTAGCGTGCAAACTCATTACAATTCAACATATCATAATCAACTATTTTTAACTACACTTCAATAGGTCTTATCTATACGTCATGTATTCAGTCATCTTTGATGTGTCTTTATAAGCTTTTTTCTTTATAGGAAATTTAGTTTTAGTTCTAGGAATCACATCAAATGATTTCAACTTACTAATGGTTAGGTGTTCTTTGTTATTGTGACTGATTTTCATTTTTATTGATAAAGACAGAAGGTAATTCAGTGAAGAAAATTTTCTTCTTGAAAGTTTTATTTATTTATTCGTTCAAAAAAGGTTCTATAATAAGATAGAAAAGTGCTGAATAGTCCAACACTTCTGACAATGTGCAATACTGAAAGAGGCTTCCAGTGACACGGAATGACCCGAATTAATTAGATACCCCATGATTGAGCTTATGACTGGCATATAAAAGTAGTATGTATTACTAATTGAGATTGATATACCTGTAGGCAGAAATTTAAGAAGATCAAAGAAAAGAGAATAATTGGTGTGGAAACGAAAGAATAATGAAGTTTGAGATAATTGACTGATATATTGCAAATGGAGTATTTACTGTATACTTCTTAGATTTTATTAAGATGTTCCATAATTATGTATTCGAATACATTCGATTATTCCCATTAATGTTCTCGTTCATTACAGTAGTATGGCAAAATAAATGTCTTTCTTAATAAAACGATGTAATAACATAGAGCTTAAATACATGTTTCTATGGAATAACATTTTATCAAAGTGTTTATCATTTTAATGTCTTCCTTTTATGTGATTCATTATTGAAGAGTTGTTTGCTTTGACTACGATATGACATACGATATCCAACTCAATCGTATTTCATTCTTAATGATCAGTTTACTGATTAAGGTTCAAATAGATCGAATTCTGTATTAAAGTCAGGTAGTTATTCCTTATGGCAAAGCAAGAGCAGCATATTTACAACTGAAGAACATCTGAAACTCAAAACAATTGTCTGTAAGCTAACACTAAGGTCAGCAGTTTCAATCGAAATGTCAAGACAGTTCTATTGCATGTGGCGGAAACATGGAGAACTACGAAATCCATCATCCAGAAGATACAAGTGTTTATTAATAGTTGTCTACGCAAAATACTTCAGATCCGTTGGCCGGACACTATTAGCAACAACCTACTGTGGGAAACAACAGACCAGATCCCAATGGACGACAAAATCAATAAGAATCGCTGCAAGTGGATAGGACACACATTGAGGAAAGCACCGAACTGCGTCACAAGACAAGCCCTTACATGGAATCCTGAAGGTCAAAGGAAAAGGGAACAACCAAAGAACACATTACGCCGGGAAATGGAGATAGACATGAGAAGAATGAACAAGAACTTGATGGAACTAGAAAATAAGTCACAGGACTAAGTGGGCTGGAGAATGCTGTTCAGAGGCCTATGCTCAGTTCAAAGTAACAAGCGTAAATATGTAAGTAAGTAAGTTATGTATCATTCATCTTACAACTTGAGTTTTCTTCAATACCTCATAAAGAACAGTGTCTAGTTCTTTTATCTAATCAATTTTATTGTCTACACATAATTGATCAAATATTCTCTACACCTTTTCTTATATTTACAGGGTTGTATTGAAGAAATAACTGGCTTTGCTCAAAGTTACTCAACTATATTAATAGTTCTATGCTTTATAACAGCTATTCTTCAAGGTGCCTATTTAGGCATTTCAGTTTGGATGGTTCGTAAATCTGATGATGGAACCGCGTTTGCTGCATAAACATTGTATCGAAGATACAATTCAAAAACAGACTTCATTCCTAAAAAAAAAAAAAAGATACACTTCATTACTTTATTAATTCATTGAAGATAATCATTATTATTATTTCAAAAAAACCCCCACAAAAATATCACTTTTGTTTTTCTCATTCAATTTTGATTCTATCACTTTTTTAATAAGCTAAACACATTCATAGAGGGTTGATTGTGTCTCAGTAACAAAAATGTAAAACTGACCTTATCAACGATAAATGTAAGATGGATATTATTTATTATTCTATCTCTATCAATCTACTGATAGTTGAAAACTATTATCATTGAACATATCATTATTACATAATTAGTGAGTCTTGATAAATACTGTTTCATTAGTATTTCGAAGTTGTCATAGTAACTATTTGTAACCATTTGATTGGAAATAGCTTTACATAGATATGAATTTAAAAGATTTATCAAACATATCGACTGGGAGTTATTTTTAAAAAAAATGTTTTCTGTGATATATTTATCATTTCTATTTAGTTTTATTTTCTCTAGTTAGCGTTTTATTTTCTAGCGAGTTAATTTTTCTACTGGAATGGGATCACTAACCCCATACCCAATCCTTCTCGTTTATCTGAGCTTAGGATTAACAGTAACGTTAGAGAGAGACTCCAAGCGGAGTTATTTCTATTTACTTACAGTATGGTCAAACTAGCATGCATTGTATTATAACTCCGTCTGGAGCCCCTCTGACTCTACTGCCAGTCTCTGCTAGGTTTGAAGCTATGACTAGTTCACTTAGTATGCGAACGGAACAAAGACTTATGATCGAAGACCAATAAGCTAGATATTCTGATGCGTCCCAGCTCCGCTAATTAGAAGAAGAAGTCCAAGCTTAGAATGTGGAATTACATTCTGTAAACAGCCAGAAATGAGCGATAACAACAAACACAAACCAAAACGTATATATACAGCACAAAACCATCCTTAGGTAGAGTTACTAAATAGCACACTAAAAGACTCAACGGACCAATAGCAGTCAAGGTTATTTCCCAGTGAGAAATACGACATGAAGGTGACAAGAGCACTTTTGGCGCGAAAATGAAAAAAAAATTCAAATTTTCTAAATAAAATGACAAAAATTACATCCTTTTCCAAGTGAATTCTGGGGATCTAACATCCCCAACTATCTTAAGCCTTGATAAAAAAGGAGGGTTAGGCATAAGGTTAACGACCCCACCCTAATAAAAAAACTCACTCACTAGAAAATAAAATGCTTATATTTGATGAAAGTAGACAATCATCATTCAAGCAAACTATGATAACGTAAGTGTTTACGTTATTAGTAATTGATTTTTATATAAACGTGTGATGAAGATTATATTTTTATTTTTTTATTTTTTTGGTACTATCACATGGTTCATTGAAGTGCTCATCTCTCTAAATAAACAAAAAAAAAACAACAAATTCTTCATCATACAGAAGTGTATTTCATTAAGATGTAACATGTTACATTGATTTCATTAATAATATTTAATGGTTTAATTGTAGTTTTATGAATTTAGAAGAAACTTGTTCATGAATAAGATAGAATTATATGTGAATCATTGATTTTTTGATTCGATCCATGATACTTAGAAGTAGTTGGGTAATGTTTGTTGCTATGTAGATATATTGTCTGATTGATAATTGATATTTATTATAGAGAAGCATTGGCCATTCATCACTATTTTCTATTCAACATTCTTTTAGGAAATATTTCTTAGTTCTTTCCAGTTGTAATTCATCATTTTTCATGTGTACTTTGAATTCTCAACGTAGTGTATTCTTCAACTTTTCTGTTTATTGTTCCCTTTCAAGATATCAAGTTAGAGCTTGCGTCATGATACAGTTTGATGATTAACGTAATGTATGCCGGTATCCATTTCCATGCGGTTTTCCTAATTTTCCTTTCAGTTAGAAGCTGGTTTGTTCTATTCCACAGTAGGCTGTTACTGATGATATTCAGTAAATGAATATTGATTATCTTATATAGACAATACTTTATAAATACGTGTACTAAACGTTGTCGTAGCACTCCAAGTTTCAGCTGCGTACAGTAAAATTTCCAGATATTATTTGAACTGTGCATAGTCGATACTTATAGAATCTGGTCTGTTTATTTGAAATTTGAGTGCCTACTGAATCTTTCATTCCGTTCAATAATACTGTTGAAAACTTTTCCTGGTAGTGATAGTAGTGTGATGCCCATGTAGTTCTCATAACTGCTCAGATCTTCTTTCTTTTGTATCTTGATAAGCTGTCCTACTTCCATGGCCACCGGCACCTCTTCGATCTCCTAAATCCTCCTGAATAGAACATGGTACATACTTGCAGTTACTTCTATGTGTGACTTCAATGATTCAATTGGTATGTTGTCAGGACCAGTTACTCTACCACTCCTGATTTGTTTGATGATTGCAAATGATTTCTTTGATCTTAGGCGGAGTGATATTTATAGGAAGGTCTGTAGGTGCCGCTTTGATATCCGGCGGCTTTAACTGAGCTGGTATATTCAAGAGTTCTTCCGAGTGTTCCACCTTTCTGTCCCTCTGTTCTTGAATCTCAGTGATTGACTTGTCTTCTTTATCACTGACCGGTATCTCTAGTTTACCATATTTCCCTACCAGTTTATTCATTGTGTCATATAGTTGTTTCATATTTCCGTCTCTTCCAGCTTTTTGCCCTGTCTTTGCTAGCGATTTCACGCATTTCTGTTCGTTGGCTTCAATGCTCTTCTCCACTTTCTTGTTTGCATTTGTGTAGTCGGTGTGTTCCATGAATTTCTCTGTTCATGTTCGTGTGTAGTTAATTGCTGTCTTCTTGTTCTTTCTTTATTGAATTATGTCCTGGGTTTCAATGGAATCCACTACTTTTGGTGATGCTGGTTGCGGCCCAGCACCTCTTAACACGTTGAAGCTAATGCTTCTTTGATTAATTTCCAGCTACCCTCCGTCGTAGTTTTTTCTTCATTCAGTATATCTTGTGAAGCTTTTGACCTGCTATTGAGATCGATCTTGAATTGGTTGAGTTTGTCAGTATGTCGAGGAACGACTGTATTTAGCTTCAATTTCATCTCGACCACAACCAAGTGGTGATCTGAAGCTAAGCCAACTGTATGATTGATTGCAACTTCTCATAAAACTTGTCTTTATCTTCGTCGTTGCTATCATTGGTAGGTGCATAACGTTTGATGAAATCCATTGTGATTCCCTCATGCTTTATTCTGAAGGATGCTTTGATGGTCCTGGGTCCATGAAATTCTCGTCATATGAGGGCACTTCGTACTTCTTTGGAAGGTATCAGAGCAACTCCTTGCATGTGTGGAGCATTTTCTTCCTCATGAACAGAGTACAGCAGCATCTATTACGAATCTATCCTTTTCTGTCAACTTTGGTCCCAATGGGTTTCACTTATTCCGAGCACTGTCGAGTTGTATCTTCTCATTTCCGTTGCTATTTGTTTAGTCCAAACATTTCATGTATCTAAATTAATTGTTGCTTTGGTTGTAAGAAGGGACATCGGTTTTGACTTTCATCATGAGGCGTCATAGTTCTTTCTTGAACTCGGAGGACACAGTTTAAATGGTTGAAATTGTTTATTCTGGTTGACGTTTTTTAGCAAGCTTGTTTTCCATGGGAACCCAAACTGAACAGAAAAGATTCGATTCGGAGGGATGATGTTGTATTCTGACCATGAAGAAAGAAATATCTCCCGCACACAAGGAGTTGTACTAATGCTGTCCAAAGAAACACAAAGATCACTTGTAGGATGAACACCAGCTGTATCCAGAATCTCCCAAACACTCTTCAGAAAAAACGAGCGGGGGATCACAATGAATTTTGTTTGGTACAATTTGCCCACGAATGGAAGTGAAGAGAACAATAAAGATCAGTTTTATGAGAGGATGCATTCGATCTTAGAGAAGTGCTCAGGAAATGACCTGAGCATTTTGGTAAGTTACCTAAATGCTAAAGTTGGTATGTTCAATACCGGGTATAAATATTTCATGAGACAACATGAAATGAAAAAAAGGAACGGGAATGGTGAGATATTTTCAAGTATATGTTCCTTCAATAAAATGGTTATGGGTTATGTGGAGAGCAGAACCAAACAACGTACCCTCTAAAGCAATAAAGTCGGACCTAGAAGTAACTGCAAATATGCTCCACGTTCTGTTCAGAAAGATTTGAGAAGAATAATAATTGCTGACTGTTATATGTTGTGCCGCGGATTAGAGGGAAACGAATTATCGATCGGACCAAAGACGCGCAAAACACGTAAGAACAGCCTAGAGTTCTGATTGGTCCTGGTTCCCTGTCTAGCCGAGCCAGTTGAATCCAGAACACAAGTCTCAGTCTCTGCGATATGAACATACTCTGTTTATATACCAATCAAACAGACCACATCGTACCATAAAATAGAAAATAACATTTGTATAAGATTTGATCAACAGGAAAATGACACGTGAAATCAATATTGACCTATAGGAAAACGATACCATTTCAAGTCCAAGGATAGAATTAGACTTAACAGGATAATTTTTGGGATATTTTTCTGAATATCACAACAACGACACACTGAAAAGAAGAATATCTCATCATGATACCAAAGAAAAGAGATCTGAGCAACTGTGAGAACGACATAAGCATCACACTACTATCACTACCAGGAGAGGCTTTTAACAGAGTGTTGATGAACGGAATGAAAGATTCATTAGACACCCATCTTTCAGATCAACCGACCGGATTCTGTATGTGTCGATGGTGCACAGACCAAATCGCGACAACATGGATCATCGTTGGACAATTAATTGAATGGAACTCGCCACTATACATTAATTTCCTTGACTATTGGAAAGCATTTGACAGTGTGGATATAAGAACATTATGGAGCCTTATTCAACAATATGTAGTGGGTAGCTGAAGAGATTGTCATCATCATCTGGAATTCATACGACGGACTACATTGCAGAGTCATGCATGGCGGACAACTGATAGATGTAATTCGAATGAGGACCGGAATCATAGAAGTCTTTTTACTCTCTCTGTCTCTCATTTTTCTCTTTCTTGTGGTGGCAACTGGATTATCAAGAACTTCACATCTAGGAGGAAGCATGGAATACAGTGGACAGATTGGATTTAATTAAATAATTAAGCTCTTCCATCTCATACTCACAAACGAAGCAAGTAAAGTTAACCAGTGTAGTAGCATCCTCTACATCAGTAGACTTCAATATACACAAAGGCGAAAGCAAAGTCTTGAAATACAGCACGGAAAAAACCAACCAAACCAATCAATCTTGATAGGGAAGCTCTGGAATAGGTGGAAACTTTCATGGACCAAGTCAGCATTATCGATGCGAAAATTTTTCTGATCAATATTGAATTTAGCATTCTATTTGAAAAATAATTTTGCCTAATTGTCAGAGGACGACTATGTTGCCTATGCTCAAATTATCGGTTAGGACTGACTGGAATAATCTAGCCGTCCAAACAATTCTGGTTAATTAAA